CCCAAGAGAGTTCAGATGCAGCAGGCTGATCTCCCAGCAGGCTACAATATGTTCCCAGAAGGTACAGTGTAATTCCGAGGCCAAGGAMCAGCCTATTAGCTCCGCATGCCATTAATTTTCATGAACGGTTCAATCCGATGCTCACAGAAGCTGTTGGGCATCTTTCCATTTTGTGTCGCAGGACCTGGAGGAGGGCTTATTTATCTTTTCATTTCATACTCTCCCTTGAGGACCAAGCAGCTGGGTGCAGCTGTGCAGGTTTCCAGCCCCCTTTGTTTCCAGGCTCTGTGCCCAGCAGCAGGCAGGGCGCTGTCTGCAGGTCGGAGTGATGGCATGTCACAGTCAAAGCCRTTCAGATGAATTAAACTTCAGGCTTGTTTGACTAAACTTCTGAATTCACCACAGCTCCCCTGTTTTGCCAGCCTGAAGAAACAGCCCAGCAGGTTCTTGACTCATATGCCAAAATGCTTCCTTCATCCTGCCTGGAACTGGAAATKATTACTAATAGGTATTCTTGCTGAAATGATTTAACATCACGCACTGAATGAGATCACTAAGTCAAAATTTCTTTTCCTAAGTGACTCTCTTGCTGTTTGCCTGAATGCCAGAGGGGAAGGAGGACAGCATGAASTGAATTCTTTTGCTGGCTTTTTACAAAATCTCATCAATTACTGGAGAAKTCACACTAGGAAGTTTCACTCAGGTTCATTACAAGGGGTCCGTGATGCAGGTCTGGCAGGCAGAGGGGGTTGGAGACACAGGTTTGGGTTAACCTCTCTCTTTCACACTTTCTCCTTTTCCAGAGCTCTCCTGTCTAGGATGGAACTGAATTCAGAGAGGCAGTGAAATGAAGTGGGCATGAGAGCAAGGCTGGAGAGGAGCTGGGCACTCCTTGCCCTGCGTGCACAGCCCTGGATGGAGCAGCTGCAATTGTTAGAGCGGGCTGCAGGCACCACAGTGAAACCCAGAGTCTGGGGAGGAAAGGGGTCTGTGCACCACAAAACACCCCTCAGCTGCCAGGGCAGCTCAGGCCAGGCTGCCCTCACCCATCCGAGGCTGTCAGCCTCAGAATTAACTTATCGAGGTCAGCGCTCACAACAGCAGTGCGGTGCTTTGATGGACTCTTCCTTTCTGAGAAAGCCCCACAATCTCTGGCCCAGTGCAGCTATTACCTGCCAGCCTAAAGGATGATGAATGTTATTTATATCACAGTAATGGCTAACCACTCAGTGGAGACCAGGGACAGGCTGTGCTGTGGACTYTTCAAACACCCACTGAATGAGGGCTGCCCACAGATGGCCGAGAGTGCTAAGACATTTCAGAATAATGTTCTTGAATGTCTTGGACACGATGACCTCCAACAACTGCAATACCTGTGCTGATGCAACAACACGGGGGCTGTTCTACAGTAAAGATGTTTGTTCTTATATACCAAATTCTTATCAGTCACTGTGACATGTCCTTATAAYAGCAAAGAACTCATCTACTTCGATGCAAGCAACTACTTGATAAGAGGCTTTTAAGTTCCTTGATGAATAAACGTAAAATATAATCTATTTCAAACCAAACGGAAAACACAGAGCTATAGAGAGCTRTTCTAATGGAAAGTTTCCCTAATATTTAGCTGCTATTGTTCTGCTGTCCAAGAAATAAAGCGAATCAATGAATAAGAACTACTCAAGATGAAGATGAGAAAAGTAATCTATCAACAGTAAAACATGAAGGGCYTCAGCCTATAAAAAAACCTGTAAGMCCAATTTAACTTTGGCAWGTGCACACTTGCAGGATTAGGCTACAAATAATTGCAGAGAAATGGAAGAACTGATAAACTATAGCTTCAGCTTTCCAGTATAGTGAGCCTGGAGAGTGGATAAMTACAACTTCCCAGGAAATACCCTCTGCAGAGATGCAGAGAAAATACATCTAAAACATTAAATGCAGATTTTTTTTTTTAACTATTAATGATTCTCTTTGCATCTTGGAAAAATCACACAGTGACTTCTTTCATATGCACTGAGGTACAAAAACCTAAAATATTAAGTGACACATTCTACCAAAAAATGCCTTAGAGATGGTGCTGTGAAAAAAGTGTCAGCCCCTTCTTTATCCCTTCTACAATTAATGTTCCTGTACCGCAGTTCTAAAAATATATCGAGAAATCAGCAACATTTGTGTCCATCAGAAACCTGATTAAAATACAAGTGCTRAGAAATACTTTACCTTTAATTATATTCTTTGCACTTAAAAGCTGCTTTAGGCAGGGCTGTGTCAGAGCTTCACAGCCAAAAGCCTGAAGATCTCAGAACCCAGCAAAAAGATTAAGCAGGGAACAGCCTGACAATGCTTTCTTCTGCCTTTTCCATCATGAGTGGTCACTCCAAAACCAAAYGGGAGAAATTAAGCACACAGTAAGAGACTGCAAGCACTTTCTGGCTGTCTCAACTGCAGAAGTCTCCTAAGAGGACTGATGTCTCAGCATCTGGGCATTCCTCTCACTGTCAGGCACTCAGAGCAATGGGATTTATCAGCAATCTGCTGAGCACATTCAGATGAGGCTCTGCAGAGCCTGGAGAGCTCAAAGGCATTTACAGACAGAAAGGGGCTTGCGAAAAACTCGTGTAGCCAGAGCTGAGACCCAGAGTCTGTGAAAATTGCTCCCCATTGCTGTTAAACCTTAACTGTGGTAGTGAAAGCAGCCACTGCAATATACACAATTTATCCTGGGTGTGCTTTACAATTGTCTGAGGGAGGCCTCCATGCCACATTTGACAAGGAAAAGGCTGTTGGGATGATTTTGGAAGGTGGTCTTTGCTGCCTAAACTACAACTCCAGCTATCACTCAAATGCATGGAAATGAAGTGTCGTTTATGAACAGGTTTTGGATTTTTGAAGCATAAATTTAACGAGAAATAGATTTAAAGCTCTCTCCAGCACCCACATCTCACCCAATGGTACTTTATTCCTCATAGATTTCCCCACCATGATCTACATATCTTCCTAAATCTTTAAAAGTATCTTCTTGTCAAAGGGATATGACTTGTTGACATCACACAGAGATGCATTATATCAACATGTTTTTGCTGTACTGACATAAGCTCCAAATCATTTCCAAAGTCAGCTGAATTTTCAATAATTTGTTCCTTTTTCATTCTTCAAAATAGCTTYACTCACTTATGACAGCAAATTGCTKAAGTCCCTCCAACCTCAATCCAGACAGTGATAGAACTTTGCACCAAACTTTTTATAGCATCAAATGTGTTTTTGTTTCCCTGGCATCCTAAAAAAAAAGAAATCTTTCTTCAGCTACAGTCTGTACAAAAAGGTGTTAGCTCTGTGGTATTCAGGAAGAGCTAGTTAGAYTCTGAGGCTATACATTCTTCTGCTAAAAGATACATTATCATATCTCTGTCTAAATATTTATGCTTCCTATGTTTGCTAAAGGCAACACCTACAATTGCTATAATTGAAAATGACAAAATAGAAAAGAAATTTTTCGCCAATTTTCCATCCTTTTGCATTTAACAACACTAAATATATAGTCTGGCTCATTAAGAGAGTTTTGCCGGTTTCTGTTTAGCTATAACAAGGGAGAAATAAATGTGCTACAAAAGAAGAAAATGGAATTGTAAATATGACAGAAATGGAATGAGATTTTGTGGGTTGATGCAGCATCTGAAACCACTTAACACATGTGAAAAGGACAAAAATCAGAACCAAACAACCATTTAGGTGGAAAACACCTGGAAGATCATTGAATCCAACCATTAACCCAGCACTGCCAAGACCACCACGAACCCATGTCCCTGAGAGCCACATCTACACATCCTTTAAACACCCCCAGGGATGGTGACTCCACCACTTCCCTGAACAGCCTTTTCCAGTGCCTCACAACCCTTTTGSTGTTAACTTTTGTCTCACACAACTGCTTTTAACCACCCCACTAGCAATTTCCCATAATTTATTTCCATTGGATCTCCTTACTCTGTAGTCTCATTAAGGTTTTACCCTTATTAGTCAGGTTTTCAGGCACTACACTTCATATAACTTGTCAGTAATACACTTTCTTCACCATTTTTGCATATTTAAGTAATTGAAAAATTTTAAAACACACTATCATTTTTTTTGTGAGTGGGGACTTGTCATCATGTAGATATCACAAAAGAAAAAATACAAAAGCAGAAAATGTCATGAATTCTCTTTCAAGCAGATGGTATTGCAGTAGCACTGAACAAGTTTATATTAATTACTTTCAGAAAGAGAAGGAGATGTCACATTTCAGATAGAGGATCCCACCAAACCCACTAAGAACAAGCCGTAAATTTAACAATAGTGAGATTTTTTCATAGAATCGTTGTGACAGCTGTCAAGCTGGGGAAAACTTTTTGTGAATGCCAGTACAATTGTTCATTTAAACAAAAGGCAGTAATTCAGTCAYASTGGAACAGCTCATGAGCYGAGCTCTGCCACACAATCTGCACAYATGCAGATATTCCATCTATATGCAGAGCTGCTCTTTAATTTCCATCTATGGGGCTGCAATGTGATTTGTCCAGAGCTGAGCAGAGCCCTACAAAAATCAGGCCAGAAGGCAATTTGTGATTGAGTTGTAACAAGCTGCCTGTGTTTTCTCTGTTGTGAGGGGGAGGTTTGGCACCCCAAGTGAGCAGCCGGTGTAGGACACGCTCCCTTCATGCCAARCTGACCATGTGGTCACCCTTTTTCCCTGTGCCCTTAAAATGAGAGAACACAACTCTTGGTGGAGATGTCACCTCGTCCTGTGAGCAGGGACAGACTGAAGCACCAAAGTTGTCAACTGTACCCTCCCCAGAGAGGGAGATCACAAGGAAATCCCAGTATAGACCTTGATGCTATCATAGGGTCTTTGAAGCAATAAAAAAGCAGAGATCCCATTGACTACCCCCACCCACAGCATGGCCTGGACCATTAAGGTGATTTACTACAGCAAAACCAACCCTGAAGAAATGGAGTGCAACTTTTACCTCCTCATAGACATCATCATTCCTGCTGAAGTCTCCAGCCCTCCTTGGAAGCACATGGACATGAACATGCTGAAAATGTGAAACAAGAGAATGGTGATTATCAAGTTCATGACTTTCTTTTCTGAGCTGTCAGCATTATTCTCCACACACACAAGTAACGATGCACAGGCTCCCACAGCATTATTTTCAGAGGAAAAGACATTAACCTGTTCCATAACTGTATCTCAACTCTTTGGAGAATATAAAAGAGGAAAAACATGAGAGAGCAGCCCTAGTGTATTATATGAGCTTCAGAGTGAAATGCCTGGAAGTTGAGGGGCTCTGTGGAATTATTCATAGTTGTCAGTCAGAGATGTATTTAGTCACAGCTTTGAAATAACGATGTCCCCGGGAGCTGAGYGCTGTGCTCCGAGAGCAGACGGGAATGAGAAGGGGCCGGAGATGGGACGTGGTGGAGAGCTGGGGTGGGCAGGGAGAGCTCAGGGACAGAGGGGGAACTGCCACAGCCCGGAGAGCACGCAGGGAGAAAGGCTGACACAGAGCACAGTGCCTCTCACAAGGCTGGAAAGACTTTAATGTGTCCTTTCTGCTGCAGCCTGAATATAACAAACCAAAGGCCCCGGGGGTACAAGAATCATGCTGGGGACACAGCTGCAGGGACAGAGAGCCAGGTGACCCAAAACCTGCAAGGAACAAGGATCATGATCTCAGTTTGGCAGAGCCTGAAGCAAAAGTGTCCCTCTCCTGACACAGGGCCATTGCCCACAGGGTAGCAGAGCTGAGGACTGAGCTGCACAGGCAGCTTTGGGTCACCTGGTTTGGGAGGGAGGTGAAGGGTGATGTATTTTTGTCAAAAGTGCTGATTGATTTGGGGAAAACAAACAAAACTATGGGCAACACTTGGCGCCTTGATGCTGTGTTATTACTATTACAATTTTTTTTTCCTGACATGCTCTTCCTACCATAAAGAAAAGGAAATTCAAGATCCTCAAGACCCAAACTCTACAGGGAAAAATACTTTTCTGCAGTAAGTCCAGCTACTAACAACATWGCAAAGCATTCTTTTCTCTTTCCCCCTTTGTCTTTCACTCTTTTGAGTAATGAAAAACAACCACTGAGAGTAATCCTTCATGAAAAAAAAAACAACCCAACACCTAGATGAGGAGAGGCAGCAAATAATCTGAGTGACAGATCACATTTATGCATCTCCAGATCTTTTTAGATGGTGCCTAAATCCTTAAAAAAAAAAAAAAAAAAAAAAAAAAAAAAAAAAAAAAAAAAAAAAAAAAAAATGAAAAAAAAAAAAAAAAAAAGACTGCATCAGAAACAGCACCAAATGCTTTGCATTGAATTTATATAGCTTGCACCTGATTCAATTTGATGAGGCAGAAATCAGGTGAAACTCCTGCACCTCATTGAAACATTCTCAAAACATGGTTTAAGTCTATAATGAAATATGAAATCAAAAAAGATTTTCCTAGGCTATTTGTAAGAAAATTCAAACATACCTATATTGTGTTAGCTTCTATCCATAAAAACATTTGCTCAGTCAACAAAATGAARTCACAAGGATGTTTCAGTTAATGAAATATTCCGAATACCACACGATTYTTTTTCTCAGCTTTACCCTAGAGAAACCGAATATGTGATTTCYTATTCTTATCATTATCCACAGCTTTCAGTGTATTCAGACTAGAGACGAGGGTGAATCTTGAGGGTCAAAAACTGTGTTTTTGAGTAATATATCAGTGATAGTGTTCTGATAGTGTATTATACTAATATATCATAAGAGCGCAAGTGCTCCTGTGATGTATTAGTGCAATGTATCATCTGAACATCACTGCTCCTATGATGTATTGCTCAAAATCACAAAGCAACTTTAAAGACGGTCTTCAGTAGCCCTAGGCCTGAAATTTCGCTTTTGGACAGACTTTCAAGAAAAAGAAAAGTGTAGATTAAAGTTTGCGGGGGTACTGTAAAATTTCACTACTGTCTCACACCTGTGGTTCTCTTTAGATTTTAAATTTATTCATAAGAAYAGAGTGTGTTCATCTGCCAGTCAGTTTCTTTCTCTTCTGCTACAAGGAATGATAGCTTTGCTGCAAGTATCAATTTGCAGGAATTCCTCTTGACGGTAGATATAAAATCTAATATCAGCTATCAACAACCATATTCCCCAGAAGTTTAGCCACCTTTAAGAGTAATTTTTATCTCTGGAGCAGAATGTTCCAGGACGCACTCAGGAGAAGATCGGTATACCCGTGACAGATGATTTGAAATATCAGAAAACACGCAGGGATGAAGTGCAAAGCTCAGTGCAGAGATGCTGCACTGCAGATGCACAGACCAGCACAGCAGGTAATGAGTGAGCCTAATGTGATCTTCTACCCAAAATGGGCTCTTATGATCAGCGTGAAGAAAAAAAAGAAGAAAAAGTGTTTATGACAGCATATGGGCTGTTTGGCATCAGAGGGGACATTCTCAGGGGTTAGTTCACCTTTACTACAGGCATTGTGTTCTCASACACTGCCAGGCTGCATAGAGTCCATCAACTGTATTGCAAAACAAATGAATATTCCCTATGTTTGAGGCAACAACAATCAATTTAAAAGAGAGTAATATTTTCCAGCCATCCTTTTTTTATTTTTTTTTAAACCCTCTATGCATGGAACATAAATAAATATCTGAAATCTCCCCACTGTTTGTTAACAGAAGCAAATAGGAGCAGCAACAGTCTCACATATTTTCCTTCTCCTCAGTTTTAGCAAGAAATAGAAGCAGTTCAGAGCTGTGGCTCCCACATAGTCAGAAACACCGAACAGGGAGATTTTACACCTTCCCTAATCCACCTTGCAGCTTCTGGCCTTCTCAACTCGGAGAGGCGGATATTTTGATTCATTAGGAGATCTTTAATTGATCAGTTTTACTCCTTAGTACAATTTGTTATTGCTAAAGCCTCAACCCACCAAGGCACTTAAGCACCAGCTCTATTTCCAACCTGTGAATTGGTTCAGTGGGAATATTCACATCCCRGATGTTTTGTTTATGTCTCAGTGTTTTGCATCCACTGCTGGCTACAGGGAGGTCTCCCTAAATGGCAGTAGMAAAAATAACTTCAAGGTGCCTGCAAATTAAAGTTGCTTCCTTCCATTTGTTTTCCAAACAAAACAAAAACCTGCACATCAAAAAAACCCATTTGCAATTGACTGAAATGTGTCAGATGAAAACAAAACATTGGGATGCTTTTTTTTCCTTTTTAACCGAACAAACAGATTTAGACAAATCTTCCATCAAAACATTGCATGAACAGAAAACATCTAAATATTGACCAAAATTGTCAAAATAAAGCATTTCAATTTTTTTTTCTCCAGTTATTGCAGGGATCCTCATGCCTGGTGGGTGGCAGACAACACCATCACATTCCAGCAGGCTGTATTCAATCACTGTTGATGGTATTTCATTTTTTTCCTAAAAAAATTGCTTTCCCCTCATTTTGCATTATTTTGATTAATAAGCAAGGAAAGCAACACACAACAGCCAAGACATTTACATTAATGGACCAATCAATATCACCCACATCAGGGTAGRAAAATGCAGGCACACGCTTGCATTGCTTAGCTCCACTCCCTGCTCGTCAGGCACTGATAGGGGAAGCAGGACCCTGATACACTGAGTGGACAACAGTGACAATATGTGATTTAAAGATGCCTGAGCCCCACCAGTTGTTTCTGATACTGTAGGCAAGATTTCCAGCCMGGGATGTCCAGAACAGCAGTAGCTGAAGGAGGCTGTGGGAGCTGGATCTTACAGGACCTTCAAAATTATAATGATTAGACTGRGTTTTCTAGGGCTGGGAGTGCAATTCCCACTGCTTCACATTGTAAATAAAATCTCAGTTTGAGAAACTCCTAATGGTGAGAATTATCAGATGATGCAAAATCACTCGTAAGAGAAGTTTGTTCAAGATTTTTCGTATCCAGGAAGACAAGAGCATTAGAAAATGTACTGCAAGGAACAAATCTTTAGTGCCACAGGGAACCYGTGAGCCAGCACCAATGTGATGTCTCTGATCTCCCAGCGCAGCAAGAGGAAGCTCTGAGGAGCTCCATGGCATTSCAGTCAGGACTGTGGGAGCACTGGGCTGCTCATGGGCACTCAGCAGCAMGCTCATCCACCACTGCTGAAATCTGCCTGCTGCACAGGCTTTTGTGGGATTACACAGCTAACGCCCCTCTCCAGTGAACCAGGGCTGCAAAATGCCCAAAAAGTCTCAGCCAAAAGAGCTGGAGCATGTGCTGGTGGAGAAACAAGCATTCACATCRGGTGAGTTTTACTTGAGCACTCAAGGCCATGCAGAAAGCAATGCTCCTGGTTACGGCTGCTTTTATATACTGAATTATGGTCAAATAACCCATGTGTCACCACTGCACTGGATTTAAAGTGAAAGTACTACACAAAAATAGACACTGAAAGAGATTGCCCAGGTAGACCAGAATAGTGAAGAGCAGATGACCCTGCCACACACCCTGGGGAGGACATGGACATTGCCTGCAGTAATTCATGAACATTATCTTGTGTTCACTCAGCTGCTGTGCTGGTTAGCAGAACAACAAAGCTCAGCTTCCATCAGAAGGGAGATAACWGTCTGTACATGAGCTCCTCAGCACCTGGAGTCTATTAGCAATAAATGCTCTTACAGGATGAATATATAAAAGCTGGCAAAGGGTCACGCAACCGTGAGAACAGAGGGGCTGCCAAAATGCTGGCAGTGGAAGGGCTGTTCCCCCTACATCTGGAAAAACAGAACATGGCTGAGCTGCTTCTTCATGCACAAAACCAGATGCCTTTCAGCAGATTAATCCTTCCTCTTGGTACTTTGCATTCTTTCTRCAGTCAAAGCTTGGCAGTTGTGGTTTCCACGGTCTCATGGTGCTGTGAGGTCAGCAAAGGCTGTGATCTGTCCCTGCTGTGGTTGTGGCCAGGCAGGAGGAAGGGAATCAGCACAGGAATCAGCAGCTCCAGGCAGCAAGAACATCTGGCCAGGAGAGCTTCTCAGCCATGCTGGTTTT